AGGACAGACAGACCACCCGCCCCGGACACCGAGACAGACGAACGTGGAGTTGCGCAGGGGAAGGCGCACAGCGCCGCGCGTGGCGGCAGCGCACAGGTGCAGCGGCGAGAGGCCTGCGGGGCGGGGCGCGGTCCCGCCCTCCCAGTGCAGGGGCTGCGCGGACCCTCCCCCTCGCGAGGAACCCACCCGACATGCGGCGAGGACGGAGGCGGGGTCGCCGCGGGCCCAGACACCCGCAGGCTTGGGCGGCGGAAGCCAGAGCCACGCTGTGGGAACGATTGGTGGTACCCGGAGCGCACGGAGCTTTTCCGATCTCTGCGCCCACTCCCCAGCTCAGCGCCCGCCACGAGTTCGGGGCTAGGCAGGTGCTGGGGGAGGTCGCCAGATCCCCACAGGGGCGGGGTGGGCGCTGGCAGCGTCAGGGCAGGGGGCGAAGCCGATGGCCTAGGCTCTAATCGGATCAGATGTAATCCGTCTGCAGCCGGAGCTACTAGCCTAGACCGCCCACAGCCTGGTCCACCCAGGACGTATCTCCAGGACCGGGGCTGTCCGGCTTCCGACCTCGCCTCTTCGGTGCAGCCTGGGGAGTGGCCTTTAATACTTGTCTCTCCCTCTGTCCTTTCCCTTCTCGGGATCCACACCAAAAATCACTGCCGATTCAGATTCACAGTGACACAGTAGGACAGAGTAGAACCGCACCATACAGTTTCCAAGGCTGTAAATGTCTGTGACTCTGCCATCACCTCCCAGGGGTCCCATGCCACCAAAGCACAAAGTTTCTGGGTAGATCCAGGCTACCTAGCTTCTAGTCCAGGGACATGCCGGCACCAATCAACCCTTAGTGTGGTTTGTGCAGTCCTGTCCACAGCCCACTCCCTCTGGAGAGGCAGAAACTCACTTGCTTATCCCCCCAAACCGACCTGCCAGATGCAGTAGAGCCCTCACATCTGGAGGTCCAGGGAAGACTCATACGAGGACCTCAGTGCCCCTTTCACCTTTAGAGGCTCTCTGATCTCTTATTGTCCCAAATACTGACATTTGGCTTCAAAGCCCAGGAGACTGGGCAACTCTTGGTATTTGAGATGCTCCTATTTTTGCTCCAGGGGACTGTTTAGATGACCAAAGTGGAGATTCTGTCTCACCAATCTTTCATAACTGTCCCCAGAAAAGTTGCTTTGGTTGAGAGCCTGTTTCTCTGACCTGAACTGCTATAGCCTATTTTCTTGGCCTGCCCTTCCTTCCAATCCTGGTCTTCCTGGCAAATGCCCCCTCCTCGCCAGAAAAGCTCACATCCCCCTCTGTGAAAGCTGCTGCCTCAGACCGCCCAAGGTGGTTAGACACTTAAGCCCTGACCATATCACTTATCTACAGTAATTCCCTGTGGGACTTGAGTGCATAGCTTGAAGCAGAACAAAGCTCAGCAAGGTACAAAGCTTATAAATGACGTGCCCTGACCCCAGAAATGTGGGACTAGAGCTCTCTCCAAAGGGGCTGACCTCTTGAGGCATTTTTTCCATGGCTTCATACTACCTCTGGAGTTTGAAGTACAAGCAGTCTCCAAGATATGAACAAGATCCATTTCTAATCGTGTCTTTAAGAATTTGTAGGTGAGTAGGAACAGGTGCATATGGTTCTTATTTAGCCTTACTTTAGTGCAAGGCTCTAAGCCTTTTCAGTGATCAAAAAGCTGCAAGTGCAAGTGAAGGGGATTGTGATACATTTGTTGCAAGTAGGGATTGGTTCAATCATTTCAAAGCAATGCTTCAAACCTGTTCATTCACGTTTGACCCTCTGCTGAGAATACATAAGGTGATTCTTGTGCATATATTATTATAAGAATCTATGTATACATAATATAATCACTTGGGGCTCTTGTCAAAATAATAGATTCTGATTCAGTAGGTATAGAGTGGAAATGAACTGGTTCAAAGCCATTTCAAAGTCAGGGTAAATTTACATAAAACACTACAGGAAAAGTAGCTCTGGTAGCATAGTGCCTAAGGCACTTGACTGCTAACCAGAAGGCTGGTGGTTCAAACCCACCAGCCTCTTCTCAGATGGAAGGTGGGGCAATCCTACTTCCGTAGTGATACTGCCTCGGAAACCCAAGGAGGGGTCGCTATGAGTCGGGTCTGACTCAATGGCACATAACAGGAAAAGTAGGAGTTGGCCCTGTAAATTCCTAACCCCAGGATTTGTCTGTACAACCAACCTTCTCTGAGCAGAGATCACTCAGGGTCTTGCACTTTTATTGGCCACAGAAGCACCCACACACCCCTTTGTGTCTGTCTGCTTCCCCTGTAATTTTTTTTTTTTTTTTTTTGGTACGTTTCTGAGTGTCCCTCTGCTTCTCGGTATCTTCTTGGTTTTTGGATGGTGACTATCAGTGGTCTTCGTGGACATGCCTACCTCTTCTTCCTGAGGCACATCTGTATGGGAAGGCAGTCTCAGTGATACATCCCTTGATTCTGCGGCGATGACAACCATTCCCACTTTTTCCACAAGAGAAATGTCCATAGGGACCTACTCCTATCCCTTTGTTAAAACTCTCCCTCTTGGCTGCTTATGCACAGGGAGATAGCTCAGGGTGCAGAAGAGTATGAAGGGATGGACACTGGGAAGAGGTAACTATGGGGAGGAAGTGGGAGGGGAGCTGTGGCATTGTGGTAAATTTTGGTCAATGACATGAGACAAAGTATATGTGAACTGCTGTATGAAAAGTGAATTTACTCTGTAAATCTTCACCCAAATCCTAAAAAAAAAAAAACAAAAAACAAAAAACAAAACTCTCCCTCTTCCATTTACTTTCTCATTTTATTTTCAATACTATCTTCTTTAAATACTGTGCTAAATACATTCTTTTAAATTCAGTTTTTAAGTCAAGCATATGGTACAAAATGGAGAAGTGAAATGTCTTCTTCCTCATGTCCGTTCCTCCAACCACCTTTTTTTTCCTGGAGACAAATTACTACCACTTCAATTTGAGATTCTAAAACAAATGTTGCCATTCAAACAATCTTATTCTGATCCTTCCTAGCAGACTTTGCCAGCAGTTTTGGAACTGAGCACTGCTCACCTGGGGGTGACAATGCCACAAGTTGGATGGAAGCACATTCAGGCAGGCATGTGTGATGTGGAATTCGGCATCAGATTAAGCTGTGTGACCTTGGGAGAGTCAGTAACTTGAGTTCTGTGAAAGTGCTTGGTAACCAAAGTGTGTCAAATTGATGTTTTTTTTTTTTTTTTTCCTTTTCTTTCTCATTCACCTCATGCATGGGAAAGCTGGACAGTTTATAAGGAAAACCAAAGAAGAATTGATGCATTTGAATTATGGTGTTGGTGAAGAATATTATGTTGAATGTACTGTGGACTGCCAGAAAAAAAAGAGTAAATCTATCTTGGAAGAAGCACACCAGAATGCTGCTTGGAAGTGAGTACGGCGAGACTTCATCTTGCTTACTTTGAACATGTTATGAGGAGGGACCAGTCTGTGGAGGACATCGTACTTGGTAAAGGGTCAGCAAAAAAAAAAAAAAAGATCTTCAATGTGATGGATTGACACAGTGGCTCCAACGTACCAGTAACTGTGAGAATGGCACAGGTCTAGACAATTATTTCATTGTTGGTCACCAGGAGTTAGAACTGACTTCATGACACTTAACAACAGGAACAAGGACTGGGGTGGGCTAAAGAGATTAAGATACTATGAATTACAGAGTGAAAAATAAGGAACTTGATTTCCATCCGAGTTTATACACGTCCCCATGTTCAAGTCTCATGTGTCTGGGCATCAGAGTTGCTTTCCAAGGCAATGGCTTCTGCATGCTCCCGAGGTTCCTATTGGGTTTGGCAACCTGCCTTTGGTGTCAAGGGAGGCACAAAGCTCATTGCCATGGCGACTGCCTGCCTCCCTGCACATGTAAAGCCACTGGCTTCACCAAGGGGCTGTTGTCTAGGGCAGGAGCTGCTCCAATTGCAGTAGCTGGCGACATCCTTCAGTCTGGACAGGAGGCAGCGCAATCCTTGATTTTTAAGTCCTCAGTATTAATGAACATTTTAATGAGTTTTTAGTTTTCCTAATGCTCTGGTGGCGTAGTGCCTAAGGCATCAGACTGCTAACCACAAGGCTGGCGGTTCAAACCCACCAGCCACTCCCCGGAAGACTGGGCAATCTACTTCCGTAGTGATACTGCCTCAGAGACCCAAGGAGAGGTCGTTGTCAGATCTGACTCAACAGCAGCGTTCCCCCCCCCCCCCCCCGGACCTCTGGTGGCATAGCAGTGAAAGCATTCAGCTGTGAAACAAAAGGTCGGCGGTTTGAACCCACCAGCCACTGCGAAGAAGATGACGCAGTCTGCTTCTGTAGAATTACAGAAGAAACTAAGGGGTAATCTTACTTGGTCCTAAAGCTTTGCTATGAGTTGGAATCTTCTCAATGGCAGTGGGTTTAACACTCTGATTTGCCATTCTTCAGAACCATACAATGAGTATCTTACTGGGCCTATTTTACACATCTGCAAAGTGATGCTAAAGGAATTATCAACTTTGTTCAAGAGCATGCTGGTGGAGTGGTAAGGCCAGGCCTTGAATTAAGATCCAGATGCCAGACCTTCTTTTCATTCTAATGTAGAGGCTTTTTAGTCCTGCTTCCTGAACTCACAAGGGGAATGAGGATGCAAAACAGAAGCCCTACCTCCTCCACACTCTCCCAACTGCCACCCAGGCATTT